AACGAAACCCGTTTGCAACTACGTGGAAGGCGCAAGATGGCGCAAGCAGATGCCACAGACATGAAGATGGACTTCTCGTGTCAGACCAGGGCCAGCTGAACTCCCCCTGGACGGTGCAACGATCAACTTTTGCCGTTTGCGCATTTTGCGCCCGAAGACGTCAGGGCATGCCATGGCCCATGACCAGAAAATTCACCCGAAACGACTCCGAGTCCGGCACAGAGAGCGACAAACGGACATCGTTCGGATATCGGATATTGACAGACATACTGATTGCACCAGATCACAACCGCAAGCCCGTGCAGAACAACATGGATGGCCGGCTCTCCGACGCGCGGATCAAAACACCAACAGGTACACACACCGCGCTGAGCCGAACATATCAACCAAAACAATGACTGACACTCGGACCGGAAACTTGCCTTGACGATCAGGACGCAACGGCAGAAGGGCTGACACACCAACCCAAGCAACGACTGGGATGACCAAGGCAGCGACCAACAACACGTTAACCAGAATGTCGACCACAGGGCAGAATCTACGGAATGACACACGAACTAAGACTGCGATCGACATACCGTGAATGTGTTCCGGCGACAAAGAACATGCTTCGTAGCCGTGTGGCCATGGATCCTGAGACTCAGATTTAAGGCACCTGGTAAGAGTGCCGCTGCTTCTTCTGAGTCAAAGGCGGACACCAAACCGTCGGCATCCCGGTCCACAAAATGAAAATCAGTCAGAATCTCGTCCACGGGGAGTCCTGCAACATGCTATCTGCTGGCAACAGATGCGCACTGCCTGCTTGTCGCAGGCCTTGCGACCGTAGCTCGCGCTCGAAAGCGTGATAAGGCCTGGGCCAGACAACCAAAACCTGCTGTGTTTTGCTTCGAGCCACATAAACACCTGCCACATTCCTGCATCAGCCAATGCGTGTTGCAGCTGAAGCGACTGAATTCAGCACCATCAAGTAACTAGCTAAGCTAGAGGGATCAGATCAACGCGGGCGAGTCCACGTGGAAAGCAACCGGAAGATGAGCCCGCGACAATCGATCAGGTCGGCAGCGAAGGCCCCGCAAAGCCGGACTCGGCAGCCAAATGGAACAGGGCAGCTGCCACCGATTGCAGCATGAAGCTATTGCTGTCTACTGATCTGCATTTGTTCCGTCTGTTGAAACAACGCTTCGGAGAGGATCGCGCGACTCTGGATCCACAACGCCGAAGATGAGGGTGGAGGTGTCGTGCTGCTGATGCCCGAGGAAAGGCCTGCGAGAAAATGGGCTGGCAACCAAACGAATTTCGGAACATATGTAGCCTCTTCTGCTGCTCGAAGGGTGTGAACTTGCAGCCTCATGGAGCAGAATATGTCAAACAGTGGACATAGCACAACAAGGTAGGAGATGTAGGAGTCCCAGCCAGCACCCACTGCATGTGGCTCACAGCCCTCTGGATGCACCCCGAGAATTGCTGGCATCGCTAAGCACGGCGCTTCCGCGAACAAAGGAGACGGGCATCTCCACGCGGTACACTTTCCTGCACGAGCAAGTGCTCTCGCTGGCTCCAGCAAGCTCGCAGGCGAGGATGGCAGGGACACTTTGCAACAGTACAGCAGGCTTTGCTGCATCTGCGACTTTCCCAAGCCTCTCCAAGCTCTTGTTGCCGCGCGATTCGCGCAGAACGAAGCCAGGCCTTGCAGCCACGAATCGCGATCATACACAACGAGTTTCGTACCGCTTTGCAAACTCAGCTTCGCGCGTTGTCGATTTCAGAGAGTCCAGAACGAGCAGGTCGGACTCTACTTTCCAAACTGTGGCGTTTGGCCTGTGCAACTCCCCTCCCTCTCGACTGTTTTCAGGCTCTGAGTCGAGGGGCTCGAGGGTCCAGCGGTTAATTACAAGTGACGCCATGTGTATGCTCGAACCGACATAAATCGCACATCAACTCGACGGGGGCAATACTGGAGCAACACTGTAAAGCTCAATGTGTGCGTGAAGCTCTGAACAGTCCCATATCCTCCGGCTCTTCAGCTCAATATCACGCCCCTAAACCCTGCAACCCCATACCTCACATGGTATCGGCATGTGCCGAGGACACCACACCGCCCGGAGCAAACTGCCTGCAAGCGCAGCTCTACTCATGTGCTTCGCATCAGAGGTGGTGGTGGTGGTGGTGGT